TCCCAGAAGGTCAGTCAAGTCCCGGCTATAGATAGAACTGGACATAAAATATGCTGTATTCTTTCTTCCTTTGAAAAACAACAACAACAACAAAACATACAGGCTTTATTACATTGGGGAACAAAACCTTATTTTTTGTGTTATGAAACTATAGTCTCATTTATCTACTGATATATGGTGTAACCAGATAGGCCAAAAGTCTGGCTCCCAGGCCATCAATGGTACTTGTTCAGGTATACTGTGGCCAAGAGAAATTGGTGTGTGTTATTATTTTGTGGTCTAACTTTTATAATCATGGTTTGGTTGGCTTGTCTGGATTGATTGATTTGTATCATTATTAGATTTTAGATTTTAGCCTGATTAGTCTAAGAGTTTACAGACTAACCAGGTTGGTCCAAACTCTGGCTCAAGGTCCTCTGGGGTGGTACTTGAACATTGTCAAGTGGCCAAAACAAGTGAACTGTGTCTGTACTGTCACTATAATGAAATTGGTAATATTTGGAGGTACTAGATAGCAGGGTAAAAAACCAGGGGAATGGTTATATCTTGATTGAGTTAGCTCACATTTAATTACAGTATTTTTTGCCTCACTGTACTTAAAGTAATTATACAAATAACTTCAGTCTTTTTTAGGGTAAATGTTAATGTATTTCTGGTAACTTTATCTCTAATGAAACATGTTGACACGAACAATAGCTCTTTTTCCATGTGTTTCAAAACTGAATAAAAAATTAAAACATTAACATGTTTGATAAAGACAAAGCTATAGAAATTGATCTTCAGGAAAGACAGAGCTACTTAAAAGGAGTGAATGAAAATAAAAAAAAATTGAATTATTTTTACTAACATTAACACCGACTATCAACCACTACAGAGGAAAAAAAAAATCTCTGTCTGCCCCTCAGCATACAGAGATTATTGGGCCCAGCATGCATCTGAATTTAAAATGAAGGGACTTAAAGCATCTGCAATTGTATATATATTACACATTTGCACTGGTTTATCATCTGTTCAGATGGAAGCTCTGTCAAAAACCATCTTGGAATTTCAATTTGGACAAATCAGCGCTTTTGGCAAATACAGTAACTGCGTGAAAACGAAGCAGTTCTTTTGCTCAGTTGTTAAAAAACATCCATGAAGAAATGAATCTGTGAGGAGGAGGATAAATACCACTGTATTTACCAGAGCATCTCTGCAATCAGAGAACAACACAGCACGTACAATATACACGCTGAATTTCTACACATGCTTGATTAATGGTTGCAATGACAGTGGTTATTACATAAGGGTTCGACCACAGCGGTGATGTTAAAGCAGCGGGTCATTATTATAAAAAAACAAAATCACTGCCATTCATTTCTATCTCTGTACCTTTACTCCATCATCCTTGAAGGTCAAGCTGAGGGAGGCTCATGAATGGAACCTCTCTTACTGGTCAATTATTCCTTCATGTGTCAATGACAGGTGTGAGAAGATGAAGGAACATTCTAGAGATGGAAATTTCTGATTAAGCCTCACAGTGGCTGATATTGAGTGGTATAAGGCGTGTTAAAATAATTCCATAGAAAAAGGTATTGCGTCATAAAAACTAGTTCACACTTTTTTTTGTCTGAGCTGTTTTTTGTAAATGCAGATGCCAGAAGCCATTGTGTTGAGTTCATTCCTAAAGGTGAACACAACTATAATGTTTTCCCTGCTAGAATAATATGGTTCTAATCACAAAGGCTTATAAATAACACCTAAGCAAAGGTTTGGTTCAAATAAATCCAAATATAAATGACAAGCTACTGTAACAAGAAGTGGAACTTTGCTTGTGTCAGGTACACCAGACAAAAGTAGAAGTAGATGAGAAGTGCAAATCAATTATAACTGAGCAGCAGACACTTCAAACTCAACTGAAGAGGCTAACTTTAACTAAATGGCTTTAGTTAAGTCAAAGCCAGATGTAGATAACTATTAGCACAAAGAAACAAGTTTTAAAGGTAGCCAAAATATCTTTTTGGAGTTGGAATGCTCTTAACATTTGCATAGGTTTCATCAGCTACACCACTTTTCCTCCCACAGACCAAAAACATGCAGGTCAACAAGTCGAATCTTAATTGTCCCTAAACCTCTCTCTCTCTCTTCCCCATCACATGATCTTGATGAGGGATTAAGGAAGGATTAAGCAGTGGAAGATACATGAATCAACCCCATGTCCCTTGTACTTTTCTGGGGTAAACCTGTGACACTTTCAGGTCCACAGTCATGTAAATACATTCCAGAGGCTGCGACACAAACAGAAAGCATGTGCTTGCAGCAGTTGCCCACAGTGTGCAGACATTACATCAAACCACTGCTGCTGTCCTTCTGTCTGACCCTCATCCTCCAGCCTCTCATCAACTCTGCAGCTGCTTTGTCTCGGCAGCATCACAGCCTAGTGTGTCGGCATGTGTCTTTTTTTTTTTTTTTTTTTTTTTTACTTCCGTGTGTTTGACTTGTGTTGCTGTTTTCTCCTGTGGGCCGAGTTTTACACAGCCTGTCAATCTCCTGAGCGTCACACATTAGAAGGACCAGTGGAGTGAGACACCAAGAGTGATGCCTCCTGGGAACACAGCTCTCTGTCTCCCTACACTTACCCCTCCTACCCTCTCCCCCATTGTTTGTCTTCATCCTCCAGTCTCTTTCTCCTCCTGCAAACCCATCTCTTTCCTTTGATGCGGATCCTTTTCTCTTCTCCTCCTCTCATCCTCCTCCTTTCTTTTTCTCCCTCAGATGCATCAGCAACTCCTAAGACTCCTGGCCAACTTTGAATGACCCCCCTCCCTCTCTGTTCAGGGAGGCTGCACGCTACATCTGTTGGTGCTTTCAGTGCTGGAGCGCTGGGCTGATCCCAGCCAACAGCCCCCAGCATGCATCGCAGCGAGTATGTGGCTAATGAACACCACTGGAGGAATGTGCCAACATCCGTCCTTTTTCCACCCTGTTTAGATTAGTTTCTCTCTCATTGGGGGCCAGTGTTTACAATGAATCAGCAACATAAAAACAAACTAGAAATACTGAGTCAGATGACCATGAAATGTTTGTGAAAATCTTTAAAAACAAAACTGGAGAAAAACTTTTTGTTGATAAACTTAAGTAATCACAAGAAATACCCCCTAGGAGGATAGGTATTGGTTAGAAAAAGTTAAACTACATGAAAAAAAAAACAAAAAACAAAACACTAACAGCTTAAAAAATAAATTTGATTAGAAACGATGCAAAACAGAATCAGAAATAGGAACAAAGGTTGTTTGCTGGAGATCTGCTTAGTTAGTATAAAAAGACCAAGAGAAACGAGTTAATATCAGAAACAGACCAAGTGTGATAAACTAGCCCAAAATAAATTCATATTAGCTAAATAAAAAAAGGAAGTGAAAAATAATAAAAATATGAAACTTTTTTTAGGAAATAGCTCAAATGTAATAAATATCTAGATGAACCAAATCATAGCTAAGCTAGCCAAAAAATAGTAATAAAACAGGAGCATAAATCAATAAATAAAACTCAAGCCTGAAGTCAAACGCAAAATAGTCAGAAAACATGGCTAAAGTTAGCAAAAGTTTGCAAATTCACTCAAACTACACCATGAAAACATTCCAGACAAATGACCTGTTAGGTTTCTAAAGTCAAATAAAGAACCTTCAGAACCAAATATGCAATTTCATTTTCTTTTGAAATTGGCTATAGTATGAAGGACTGTGTCCTGTAGATAGTGGAAATATGAGAGGACAGTTAAGAACACATAAAAATGCATGGCCTTTAATGCACTGAATGGACCTGACATTATTATAGATATAATGAAAGAACCAAAAATGGGCTAAAAAGCCTAAACTGGCACACAATGGTGGCTTTAACTGTAGGTATTAAAAGCCCAACAGACAAGACCCGATTGGCTCATCAGTGAGTAGACTTCATTATTAAGTATGTCATAAATGCTTTTTAGTGAAGCAAGAAGTACAGCAATGTTCTTAAAAGTTAAAGGGCAGACAAAAGGCAAGTTTATCTTTCAGGTACACTTGAAATCTACAGTGTATAGTATGGTCAGAGCAAGAACATTGGACAATAAAATATTTATATTGAATATTTCCAAATTGCCAACCAGGACATCCAGTAATTACTCCGGGAGACAACTTATTTTACTTCTTATCACTGCTTTCTTTTTTTTTTTTTTTTGTCCTGACCACCTGCACAAAAAGACATGAACTGCCCGCCTTTAACTCGCCTTCAAAATCAACAGGAAAACATTCAGTCAAGTAGAAATTGCACCAGACTCATGGATCCTTATTACCCATGGTGGTTTCTGGGGGACCGAAAGAACCCATGGTGCTTCCAATCACTGCACATGAGTAAGTAAACTAAAATCAAGTCCACTGAGAAAGGGGGTAGTGGAACGGTGCATCACAATCATCCCATGATGCTCCCCCCACCCTGTCTTTTATCTACCCAAGTGTGGTAATCAAAACCTCATGTGTTTGATCAATAGCTCTGGACTAAAGATTACACTCCTGTGGAAGTGACAGAGGCTACAGGTCGTGTATCAAAGGCCAGGGGAGTCATAGCTGGAGCAGGGGCAGATAACAGAGTGCAAGGGGAACGACAGGTGATGGAGTAACCACAGCTAAGTTGAATGATTTCAAAGGCCACCAAGGAAGACGCAATCACTTTATGTCCAAGGAGGGACTCACAGGATCCCAAGTTTAAAACTGAACTACTGGGTTCTTACTTGGCTGTTGCTAACAAAAAAGAAGCTGTACTGATAGAACCCGTTGTTGGCAAATCACAGCAAGTAGTTTGCATCCTACTCTGTTTTTAGGAAATACAATACTTCATTTGATCAATTAACAGCATTTGGGTCTAAAAAACCAAAAACGAATTATTTTCTCTGAATGCATATCATTTGATATGGTTACATTATGAAATGCCACAAAACTGAATTACTAAATGTTGGAAGAAAAATCCAGATATAAGAAGCAACTTACTTTTGCAGTCATGAGATGAAGTTGTCCCCTTGCTGACCAAGGCATCATTTTGATGGGTAGCATGGGATGAAACAGCACCTCACCTCAGGAAACTCTGTTAATGTAAAGAAAAACATGTCTCTCATTGGTAACACAGTTAAAACTTATATGTTAAAAAAGAAAGGGGAATAATATTGATTGTGTGTCATTATCTGCTAAGGTTAGCCACTAGCATCAGCCTTTGCATTGCATCACGTTATCCGGAAGAAACTAATTGAGCTAGCTTTCCAACTAGCTTTCCAATGTGGGCTGATGATTATAAACACATAGGGACATACACAGTAGTAACACTTTTTCACACAAGGTGTGTTTAAACAATATTTCCTTAAATATCTTATTTCATGTGTGTATATATATATATATATATATATATACACACTGTAAAGAGCTGTAAGGACAAAAGCTCCTTAAAATGAGCAGTAAACAGAAAACAATACAGTATATTCAAGTAATAGATTATCATATATACAATTAAATCTATCAGTAGTATCTGCAAAATCATCAACTTTAATATATTGGGGTAAGCGATGCAACATAGGTTTTAGTATTCATCCTGTCTGTAATTTATGTATATATTTTTATATTAATGTATTATATTAAATATGTCCTTAATCCCATGTGTGCATTGAAACAGCAAAGATTATGAAAAGGAGGACTGTAAGGCATTACAGTTTTAAATTTGGCTGTAAACAAAGAATGTTTTCATATTCAGTATATATATATAATGACTGAATGTCAAGGCAGAAACCCACCGTGAATTAATGTGAGAGGATAAAGATTGAAAATAAAGAGCCAATTATGAAAACAATAATAATAAAAATAATAAAGTCTGAAGGATAATCTGAGAAATGTTCCAAAGAGCATGTGCAGGAATAAATACATAGAAAAGAGCAGGAAATATGGTGTAATCTGGAATTCTGCATTATCAGCACAAAGGCCATAAACCCTGCCACACCTTTTTCACTGGCTCCAACCAAACATTCAAACCCAGGTATTCAAGCTCAGAAAAAAGACCAAAATGGCCTAAAAAAAATAACAAAACTTAACAATACCAACAATAACAATAAAACAGAAAGGCGTGTTCACTTTTAACTCACAGTCAGGAAGGACAGGAGACGGAATCCAGTTAAGATCAAGGGAGAGTTCAGTGACAGTGGTTCACATGGAGCTGGGGAACTGGTCACAGGTGAAACCAATCAGAGCAGAGGAGCTAATCAAGGATGTGAAGGCCAGCACAGGAAGAAAGGGAAACAAACCAACAAGAGAGAAACAATTAATGACGTTGTGAGAACACAGAAACAAACAACCAAAGAAATACTTTTTTTTTTTCAGCATATATGTAGCAAGACAAAACAATGAACTTAGCAGGAAATAGCTAGAAGTATGAAAAAAAAGACAACACATGTTGTTATTAAAATTAAAGGAATAAATAAATTAGTTAAGATAAGCCAAAAATGTACCTACATTAACAATGTAGCTAAGATATCATTACTGAACTGACACAGGACAATACACGGTAAGCCAAGAAAATAACTTAGATGAAGATTAGCCCCAGAGTAAGTTAAGTGTCAGCAAGGAATCCAAAAAAGTCAATACAACTAAAATAAGACAAAAATTAATAAAAATGTCTTTAGCCTAAACATTCCTAAACTGATAGCAGGACTCATCAAGATTAGGCCTGAAACATAACTTAATTTTACAACACTCAACATAGACAAAGCTGCAAGTTGTCAAAATAAAAATAAATAACCTTAACATTTTTAAAACAATGTTAGAAGAAGCAAAAAAGAAAATTGCTTCATATTTTTCTTTTTTGCTTCTAACAATGTTAGAAGCAAAAAAGAAAATTGCTTCATATTAAAAAAAAACAAACAACAAAGATAGCCTTGAAAGACTTTTAGAACGACTATTGCTGACAGCTGTGTCTCCGAACAATAATAAGTGTTAACACCAACTCTGCAGCACTTATCTCCTCATTTGACCTTCCTTCAGTGCAACAAGGAATTATCTCTAATTAGCTGTAGTAACAGTTCTCACTCACGTCTCTATTTTCACAGCCCCCGAATCACAGCCTCTTTATATATATATATATTTACTTGCAGTTTTAGGCAGAGCTCCACATAGGTTTGGGGTGTTTTTTATTAAAAATCAATGTTTTTCATTTCTGAGGATGCACAATGAGTTATTACTGAGATCAGCATTGTGCACAGATTGAAGACTTGGTCCCAGGCATCACTCACAACGACAAGACTTTCACAAGGACATTTATGATCTCAGCCAACACGGATGTACTTTTTTCTGCAGGTCCATCCGCGTACATATCACCATCTGTCCAATAAATAATATGTCTTTCACAGCCACTGCTGGAAAGACGCAGACATTTGGAAACAATTTGGAACATTAATATCCTCTCCGTAGCGCCTCCTTGCAGTGATCAGATCAGAAGTTCTGTGGGACTACTTGGTGCTGCCATTTTTTAACAAACGTCTCCAAAGGGCCGAGTAATTCGACGGTGACCTCGAATCCTCCTCGGAAACGATGAGCTAAGCATAGACACCATCTAATTAATGAGCCGCTCGCAATAGAGACGAACAAATTATGAAGTCGGTTTGAAATGTCAAGATAACCAATTATCAAATAAAAATGCCCATTAGGTAGTTCCTCTTGGCCACAGAAAAACCAACCTGAGTTAATGAGAAAAGAACAGGCTAAAATGTCTTTTTTTGGACGTTGTCATAAGAGACAGATTAGATTAGCTATAAATGAGATGATCCTCAGGGAACTGGATTCGGCCCTGCAGGTTTCCAAGTGTCTATATCATGGAATTAATGATGATTGGCTTCACACTTGATGACTTTGTTTTTACTCTTATTAAGTAAAGCTGGTGGAAGTCTTTTGTGACGGGCGTCATAACAACTACAACTACAACACCTCTGATGATCCAATGTTTGAGCTACAATGCTAACATGGGTGTGTTTATTTTTTCTTCTACTCTTGCAGTTTCCCCACATCTTTGTTTTTCATTATACTAGGAAAAACATCTAAAGATAAGACTCAAAACCTCATTGACCAAAAAGTCAGTGTTCTAGCTTAGCTATTTAGCTACTGAGTTTAGGTTTAACACTTTCCATTTGTACAGTTCTTTTTAATTGTTGATGTTTTTTCAACTTTAGTCCAATATTTGATTTTTTGTCATTCAGAATGCTAACTTTAGCATTGTGCATTGTGTAAACTGTCAAATTTGGAAAATAAACAACAATGTTTTATATATCATTTTTAGGAGGGCAAAAATTTAGCTTTTTTTGTCAGTTCAAGCGTTAAAGTGAAAAAATAATAAATTAATAAAAAGACGTACTATTTTTAGTTCAGCAGAGTGTAGAACCACTTGTGGTTTTGTGCTTATGAAATGCTCTACATCAGGTCTGGAGTGGCTGAAAAGAGGTCAAGCGGCTAATGTCTGGTTAATGGTTTGGTAGCCTCACTCATTACGAGCTCTCCATAAATTACATCACATCCTTCTTGCACAGCACCAGAGTCCATTAGCCGGTGGTAATAATAAAATACAATAACAGTTATGTGGGCTGTTTTATTACACAACAGCGGATCAGCAAAGAAGTTTTCCAGGCTTTTGAATAAGTAAACGGTGTTACAAATGGGATTCAAGAGTTTGTTCAAATTCAGCAGGTAATGACCAATAAATCCATTCAGACCATCTCCACATTGCTAATTTTGACATTTGGGTCACAATACTGTTGAGTGGAATAAGCTATGTCAAAAAGGTACCAAGATCTTTGCTGTTCTACAGAAGGGCGGGAGATGGACAACACATTTCAGTGAAAAATGGACTTCCAAGTGACTGGCAGATACCTCACCAAGATAGAGAGACTCCAGAGAGAAAAGCAATGAAAAATCAGGATTCAACAGTGAGGATGAGCTGGCCTTATGGTGTGATGAAGGATGGACATTAGGCAGAGAATATTCAGGAGCAAAGGAGGACGGAAAGATGAGAAAAACAAGGATTGAGAGACAAAGAAGGAAAGTTTTCACTCGGAATGTTTTTTTTTTTCAAACACATTTTGACAGGGCAGAGACCACTCTGTGGCAGGGAGTGGAGCCATTTTTGAAGTCTCCTACCAGCAGCTTGAGGGAAGCAGGGAGCCAGAATAGATATATCTCCTGGCTGCCTGGCTGTTTTTTTTTCTTCTTCTTCATTTCATTCTTTTTTCCCTGTCTCCTCCCGCCTCACTTTCTTTCCTGTTTTTGACAGCCAGCTCCTGAATCTCCAAGCAGGTGTCTTCTCATTTTCTGGCGAAACAGTGGGACAGTGCACACAAACACCCTGGTGCTGTTCATAAACAGATAAACACACAACTGCAAACCAGACAGACAGACAAACACACACACACACACACACATACCAAATGTATACAAAACAATTAGTAAATGTCCTCCATTAAATGGCAACAGTGGCAGAAATGAAAATGTAATGCAAATCACTGGTCCTCAACCTCCGGGCCGCGGACTGGCACCAGTCAGTGGGTCGATTGGTACCAGGCTGCACAGAAACACATTATTTCTATTTATTTATTATCTGATTTTCAAAGGGTGTTTTATTTTGAAATAAGCTGCACAGAAACACATTTTTTCAAAGGGTGTTTTATTTTGAAATATTAGCAGATTCTGTAGTGGTAGCTCTCCAGATGTAACTAGGCAGTAGGAAGGACTGGTCCTGGCACAGTGTCTTTGGGGGGTTTGGGGAGGGTGGGTACGTGTGAGAGTGTTGTGAGAGCCACACAGAGCCACTATTTTTCCCCTTTAATACATGCTAATAAGAGGCAGCCATTGAAAGCAGTGGGGGAGATTTAGTATGCGCTACCATTTTAAGGTCACTCCTTGTTCCCCGGCATGTCCTCATAAAGATGCTACTGTTATATGGGGTATTTTTGCGTCTTTTCATGGGGTTGTTGGGCCTGAGGAATTAGCGGCGTTATTGAGCCAATTTTCCATTTCAAGTGTCAGATTTTTGAAGCTGAGCTCACTGAGGATGAGCGGATGTTGCTGACTCTGGTGATGTGAGGATAAGAGTCACCCTCAGACCTCAGGTCTGTGAATGGCTGCTTTGTGAGGCCGCTGTTTGAAGTTGGAGGGTCTGCTGGGAAAGCAGGGTGTCCCACGCGTCGCGGGTGTCAGTGATTAAGTGTGACTGACTGTTGGATTGGGCTGGGGGGTGTGGGGTGGGTGACTAATGCTTACAGTGTATGTGCCCCTTGTACTGATGTGTTGGATATAGAGGCAGTGACTGCTAACACTGAATCGAAGGAGTCTGGAGCTTGACCCATAAACAGACGAACAAAGCCACCAGATTCCAGATGGATTACATCAGCTGTAACTGACACCTTGTCCACTCACATCCATTGCTTTTCAACATGCCTCATAGTCTATTTTCTTCTACAGAGGATCATAACGTACCACATCAACATTAACAAACAACAGAATTTTTTCCACTAATTTAGACACAGCAGATGCTTGTGAGTCAGCATTGCAGATTAGCAGTCCACTAAGGTACAATGCTACGTTGTGGCTTAGTTGCTAGCAAAGACCTCTAATTAAAAATATAAATTTTAAAATTCTTCTAATTCTTTTAGTTTAACTGCTTAGTTAATCAAGTATTGCTATTTATTTATTCATATCATCTTTGGGGCTAAATTGAAACATTTTGGCCATATTTTTCTAACTGTTGCATCACCCTTTTAAATTTCCCCAAATACTGTCTTCAATTAATAATTGAGAGCAGCTAATGCTATTATAAACATTCCAAGTATTTTCGCTTCTAAATGGTTTGTACTAATCAGCAATAAGTTTTTTTGAGTGTGATTTTTGACACATTTAATCGCATAACACCGCTGAGATTTAGACAACAGCCACAGCTTTGCTATTTAACACTACAAAAACCAGAAAACCGCTATTCTTGGTCACAAAACAATGGACTTGCATCGTCTATTACATCTCTCTGTAAGGACACAAAGTCCAAAGATCCTTTTGTCATATTTCAGCATGACACCATCAATGCATTTATCCTCCAGTGACAACTGGAAGGATCCGTGCCTACAGTACAGTGAAACTTCCTAAAGAGATTCCATTGTGCATTGTGATCTCCTCAGCTCTACTGGAGGAATCCCAGAAGGAGACGGGAGAACAAGGACTCAGGGAGTCCCAAAATAGCAACTCGCCAGAGGGAGTTGGGGAGAAGAGAAGAAAGGCTCACTGAGCTTCACCATCAACACCATGTCCTCCAACACCACAGCGGTGCTGGTGCTGGTGTACGTTACTTCTTCATGTGTCACTCTGTGTTGACATTTTTCACTGTGCTGCTGCTCACAGCAGAAGATCGGTGACACATCACCTCCTGGGTAGCTCTACATGACTACTGGCTCTCTGCCCAACCCTCAGCAGCAGACTTTTTACACAGTGATGATAAATGGATGGTTGTACAGTATTTCTCTGCTGGGGCCGTGCAGCCGTACAGGCCCACATGCTGCAACAATAACCTGATCACTTTACCTCATTAGGTAGCACAGAAGGAGCTGGAGTTTTACACTTTTGAACCTCACCCTTCTCTAAAATATCCTTCAGACACTCCTGACAAAACTGTGCAGCATCAGAGTGGACAAAGGGAGGAATGGCCTGGGGACACACATTTGAGTGCAGAACGTAGAGAAACAGATTACCATAATCAACGAAGACAGTTCAGGGAGAACCAACCTATAAAACCTGATAATGAGACGCCATAAGCCAAAAGCCTAATATCAGAGCAGTTTAGGTGCCAAAGGAAGAAGACAAAAGCCAAAAGTGTGAGTGTTTTTTACTGAACAAATGTGTCATTTCCTGATTTTAATTCAGTGCTAAAAACAGGTACTTAGTTCATCACTGGGTTTGATGTTTCAATAGCATGTAATAATAGAGAAAATGGCTGAGGTGTCCAAATATTTCAAGCCGCATTAATTGTTTTCACTTTCTTTTTATACACCTGAGTGCAAGGTAATAATTAGTTAAACACAGCGAACGTGGACTGATGTTTTTAAATGTGGTGTAATTTTATTAGGTAGTTCTTTTCAGGTGGAATGGCAATGAGAATTAACATCTCCTGAACATAACAGTGGTTCAATTTTGTTTTTGTTTTTTCTGTTAAGAGCAAAAAACAAGACTCTTGTCAAAACTGAACTGTCATTTTTGAGTTACTTCATATTTCTCTCCAGAAAAGAAAAACAAACAAAAAAAACAAAAAACAAACAAAGATACAGTATCTGATTCCTGGCTGTGAACGCTAACTCGTTGTTGACTGTGACACCTCTGAATACCAACTCCTTTTATTTGACTACAAAGAGGAGGGTTTGAATGGGAGTTTTTCATAGAGATTGATAAAACAGGTAAAAGAAGATGGAGAGTCACAGTGGTCAAATTACTTGCATTTAAATTAGGGGGAAAAAACAGCAACAAAGACAGCAGGAAATTACGGACACAAGGCAACAGTCCTGGGAGACAAGTGGAATTAAGAGAGGGTTCAGTCATGGAGAAAACTCTAAGCCTTCACCTTGTCTACTTTAATTTTAAAAGCAACTCTGTCCTGCTTCAAACAATCCAAACAATTAAAGCTGAAGCTCAATCATGTCTTACAAGATGCTGTGCCTTTACAAAAAATATGTTGGCTCAGACACTGGAAGTGAATAGCATTTCAATGCATTTCAATTCCACCTTACCTAAGAAAACTACAGTTAGGACAAGAATATCAAAATGCAAAAGATATAAAGCCAAAAGATAGCTGCGGAAATATGTTGTTAATGCCAGACAAAAGAAAACAAATAGCCAACATAATCATATAGAACTACGGGATTAGCTGAGCCAAGTGTTACCTGCGAAGGTGGCTATGAATTCTCAATAAGTAAGTTGCTAGTTCAAATGTTTCTAAGCAACTAAATAAACAATATGCAACAAACAAACGGCAAAAAAGCAAGGGCAACATTTCACTACCTAAACAACATAGGTCAAGGTTCAAGAGTTGTCCCTGAAATGCCATTACCACAAACCACTGCATTGATTTTGAGCTTAAGGTGTGTACATGGTCGATATTTATGGCAGCAGGGAAAACTGTCACAACCTTTCAAAGACCTCGGAGATGTCAGAACCAGATGTTTTGAACTAACAGAGAAGATCCAAAAATGACCTGACTAATCCTCCCACACAATGTGCGATAGAACCAAATTAAAAACATTCCTGATAAGAGATGACGCACCGTCTCTGCCTGTTTTTTTTTCCTTGGCCCCAAAAGTAATTTCTGCATCTGACTGAATCTTTTCCATATTAATACACATTATGCAAATGTCAGGTTATGTGCTGATGGCAAAATGCAGCAGAATACACGTTTTTAAAACATTCTCAGATTCACTTATTTTGCTCATGCATAGAGAATCTAAAGGTGTTAATGAAAAGTGGGAAGGGAAAATGAAAAATGGAGATGATTGCACAGTCGGCTGAATTAATGGTTTCCATTTTATGCACAATAAGGGCAGAGGGTGGGGATGGGGGGGTTGGTGGCCCCTATTTATGTTAGTAAATGCTTTGTGTGCAACATTGCTACATTCATGTCAGCCGTCAGCAACCAAAACAACACCTCTGTTGTCCAGCGCTGCGAAGAAAGGTAGTGGAATGATTGATTGCACTGTTTATGCATTAAAACTGACGTCTGGCACTTTTGTTTTTTGTTTTGACACATTTCATGCGCAAAATAAATTGTGTAAAATAAAAATTCCAAACAACACGCTGCATTAACGTTCAAACAACTGTCTATAAGGTAGTGTTTTTCAAAGGGAAGTGTTGCTTCCTCTATGAATAACAACAAAGTTTGGACAAATGGGACTAAGCTAACCTGTTGTTAACGTGAATGTATTATTGCAATCCTATGTATGGGGATGACTGTGGAAAGTGCTCAAAATATCATTACATAAGTGCTGTGTATCATAAACATCGCTAAGGAGGAGGCCTACAGGAGTGCGGACCGGGCCAAAACACACTGACCACGGAGCTCAAAGTAGCAAAGGAGTGCTACAGTAAAAAGCTGCAGTAGAGTTTTTCAGCAAACAACCCTGTCTCAGTGTGGAAAGGCCTAAAAAACATTACTGTGTGGTTTGGTTCTGCCACCAAGGCAGACTTCAATGCTCAAAAATATATTTTTTAAATATATTTTCTATTCTTTTTTCTCCTCTTCATGTAACTTATTAACCAGTTTCTTTCATTAATCCTCTACAGCTATGTAAAATCAGAATCAAATTCCTTGTATGTCCTCATTCTTGGCCAGTAAAGCTGATTCTGATTGTCTCATGTTGGTATATGGAGTACAGTACAAGGCCATACCAAAGAATGAAGTCTGATTTGTTCAGTCTAAGTTTTTACTTCCTTGTGCTCAAAATATCATAGCAAGTACTGTGCAACCTATTTATACTTATTTTACTGTTTGTGTTTGTAGTCTAGTACATGGCCAAACCTTTAGAGGCCTTTAGACAATCTTTTTACTTTTAAAATTCCTAAAATAATAGAGCAAGTACTTTGTATCTTAACCCATTTTGCGGATTTCCTGATTGCAGTTTTCACCTCCTAAAACACTAGAAAAAATATTTTTATTTGCTAACATGCTCAGAATACTTAAGCAAGTACAATGCAACATAACTCAGTTTTCATAATGATTGAGCGTCAAAGCCAGACTAAGCAGGTATTTCTTAATGTGTTCAAACAAATGTACAAATGTCAATGTAGTCTAGTACTGATACTGTGTGACAGGATATTGTTTACCTCTGTTTGCTAAAAATTAAAATTAAAATACCAAAATGATAGAGTCATATGTGACCTCTGTTTGCTAAAAATACCAAAATGATAGAGTCATATGTTTTCAGTGCTTAACATGAGTAGTGTGCATGACCTATCCTTACATAAAAACATGTTAGGAGGGTCTTAAATCTTAAAAGGACAGGTTGCAGAGTTCTTGTAATGATAATTTAACATGTACATGCTGGAATTGTTCTCCTGTTGGCCTTTGACTAGCTGGACTCAACAATTGTTGGATAACTTTGTCCTTGTACCTGTATACAGCATTATAAAGTTGGTATACAAAAACTAATTCATGTTTAAGTAATGCAATACTGTCACATTTCAGGGGTAACACACATGATAAAAAGTAAATGAACTTAGTTTTTGTAAGACTATATCTGCCCTAAAAACGTCTGTTAAAAAAATTGCTGTATTTTGATTTTAAATCAGGCTACAGTTACTGGTCAACTGGTTACTTTAATCAGACTACTATCCTGTATTGTACAGGCTGTGGAGATGAATTGGTTAATTTACAGAAGTCATTGACCTTTAGCACTATGGGTCTCCTTTCAGAGTGTTAGACCTGGACCCACTCTGGTTGTTAAGTTATTTCCAATCTTCTGTAAGCACAGTGACTCATGAGGCGAAGGCTAGTTTGGTGCAGTTTAAACCAGTTTGTACAACCCATGCAAACATTCAGAAAAACAATAGAAAGTCTACCAAATAAGTAAAGAATAGTGTGATATTTTGTAATATTTAAAACATATACAGTACAGTGATTCTAGGTTGGGAAAAAAATGTCAAAATGCTGCAGCCTGGATAATTCCCTGTAATGTCCGCTTCATTAACTTCATTAAAACAGATTTAAATCTAAGTTTAGTTTAAAGAGAAACTAAAGCATTAAAGTAACACTTCGAGTATTCCACGGAGCAACATCATGGATTTACTGTACCGTCTTCTTTCGAATCGAAGGATTGATTTTAATTCGACGATAGAGGGCGCTGGTAAGCAAGGATAGAGCTCACAGTTGGAATTCAGACATGCGGGAGTCTGAGAAAGAAGCAGCTGAAACTCTCTCTCTCTCTCTCTCTCTCTTCCTCCGTCCTCCACTCCTCTCCCCTCTGCCACACTTACTCCTTCACTCACTCATTACACTCGTTCACTGTATAATTTCGCGCGCGCGCACACACACACACACACACACACAACTACACCACGGAAAGCTGCAGCCACAGCGAACTGTCCCCTGCATGAACGCGTCCCCCAAACCAAAATTAAAGGATAAAAATGTGCATGTAGTGAACAGAAAACAGCTGTTCGGTGCACGTCAGTGGCGAAAAATGTGTAAAAAACATGGTTGCGCCCTTTGCTTTGGAAACCCCATCGGACGTGACCAGGATGTTTGCCTAACGCTGTGACCATCAGACGCTGAATTATAGCCGTGTCAGGACGCACGCTGGGAGTTGTGTCTGCGCGAGGCGGATCGAGAGAAATAAAGAGGGGTTTGGAGCTGGGCTTTAAGATAAATGTCAGAGTCACTGTCTCACATTCCTTGGACGCCGCCGCGTACTTGCAGCCATGGACGACCACACACACACACACATACACACACGCACACAGCCCTCTCGTGCGGTGCGTCTGTCCTGCACTGCGACTACATTCAGTAGGTTCCGCGCTTCCCCGATGACTGTGAAGTGTTCGCCACAGTAAGTGACTGCGTGCGTAAAGTTGTCAGAGGAGCAGAGTCTTCTCAGACTTGTGACTCATTAAGTTAAATAACATCTTATGAGGACAAAATACAATAAAAACTCTTCGTTTTGTCAACATATTTGGTCAAATTGAAACAACTGTGATGACCAAGGGCAAGTTTGGGGAGCGGGCGCAGTGAGATCGATCAAATTTATTCCTGCTTTAGGACATTTTTGGTACAAATATTGTCTGCGTGCCCCGGGAGCCGGCGTTTGAAACCAAAATCGGACCCTGTTTGCGCTGCTGGGTGAGAAAGAACCAGAGGGGGAGGAAAAGAGGTGTGTGTGTGTGTGTGTGTGTAAGGAGGGAGAGAGAGAGGGAGCGACTGCAATATCATTTGTGGCTCCCTCGCTCAGTGCTGCAGATAGGGGCTGCCAACACATGCGGTGCTACTGCAGGTGACGGAACAAGCTGAATGTGCCCGTGGACGCACCGCGGAATTCCAGCATAATTTCCTAAAACAATCTCACTCGGATTTACATTCATTTTTCATTTTTTCCATTTTCACTTTTTTCTTTAAGACACAAACCCTGTTTTTTTTCCAGAAGGCTGTGCGTTCTGGAGTTGGTAGGAGTAAAAGAGAGCGGGTGACGAAGAGAGAGAGAGAGAGAGCGCAAGCGAGAGAGCGAGTGAGATAGAGAACTGTACTGCCTCCTGGTTGCGAGTGACTTATCCGGAGGAAGAGAGTGGGGTAAGGCAGGCGTACACAGCCGCATCCTCAGCATCGGTTGCTTTTGCGCGATCGCAGGGATGAGTTTGTCTGCGCAGGCATGAAAATCACCCTCTGTGGACATACACTACCGGACACACGGGAATAAATATCGCACAGCTTCAAGAAAAAGAGATATAAGGCACGAACAGTGCGTAAAAGTGGACTGCTGCTGATACTTTCTGGTGATGTGATATTGCCAACCTGACATTTTTTGGGTGGACTTTTACGCACGATTTACACACAAGCACGGGCTTGTCTTTGGTTCATGTGTGGCAAGATCCAGTGCGCTCGGAGATTTGCGTATTTTTCCCTGTGTTTTGACCTAAGAGAAGAGTAAGTGATATTCATTGCTGGAGGTAGAAGAGGAGAAGAGTGAGGGAAAACCCGTGCACTTGCTGCTTCCCACTGCAGCAGGAGCAGCAGCTCAGAAGATGAAGTCTTACGCATCCTAATAATTTACTGTCGCCGCATTTGGACTTTCTACCAGTGATTTCATTTAGATTTTTTTCAACAGATATTTCTTTTCCTGCTAAACTCAAGTGGAACAATGAGGACTATTGGTGCAGTGGACTATTTATGCTATTGCATGCTCATCCTGCAGCTTGTGAATCAGCCCGCCGCCAAGCAAGTGCTCCGGTACCGTTTGGCGGAGGAGGGACCCGCCGACGTGCGGGTGGGCAACGTCGCAGCCGACCTGGGCATCGTGGCCGGCTCTGGGGAGGTGACATTCACGCTGGAGTCCGGATCTGAATTCTTCAAAATCGACAACATCACAGGTGAGCTGAGCACCAACGAGAGGAGGATAGACCGTGAGAAACTGCAGCAGTGCCAAATGATCTTTGACGAGAACGAGTGCTTCATAGATTTCGAGGTGTCCGTCATCGGTCCTGCCCAGAGCTGGGTGGACCTCTTTGAGGGCAAAGTCATCATCTTAGACATCAATGATAACACTCCATCCTTCCCATCCCCTGTCCTGACTCTGTCCGTGGAGGAAAACAGACCCATTGGAACTCTTTATCTGCTGCCCACAGCCACAGACAGGGACTTTGGCAGGAATGGAATAGAGAGATACGAGCTCATCCAGGACAACGGCGAGAACTCCAGGCGCATGGGCTCCTCCGGGGACGCGTACTCCGGGAAGAGGAGGTATGATGACAGCGCCAGCAGGAGCAGTGTGTTTGAGCTGCAAGTTGCTGACACCACTGATGGGGAGAAACAGCCCCAACTTATCATTAAGGGGGCCCTTGACAGGGAGCAGAGGGACTCCTATGAGCTCACGCTGCGCGTAAGGGATGGAGGCGACCCCCCTCGCTCCTCCCAGGCTATTCTCAGGGTGATGATCACTGACGTGAACGACAACAGTCCCCGCTTTGAGAAGAGTGTGTATGAAGCGGACCTGCCGGAAAACAGCTCTCCCGGTGCCCCCATCCTGCAGCTGAAGGCGGCTGATGCAGACGTGGGGGTGAATGGTCAGATAGAGTATGTGTTCGGAGCAGCAACAGAGTCCGTGAGGAGGCTGCTGAGGCTGGATGAGAGCACAGGGTGGCTGAGCGTCTTGCATCGCATTGACCGTGAAGAGGTCACCCAGCTGAGGTTCACAGTGATGGCCCGGGACCGAGGCCAGCCTCCCAAAATGGACAAAGCCACAGTGGTGCTGAACATAAAGGATGAAAATGACAACGTCCCCTCCATAGAGATACGCAAGATCGGTCGTATCTTCCTAAAAGATGGTGTGGCCAACGTGGCTGAGGATGTGGTGGTGGACACGCCCATCGCCTTGGTGCAGGTGTCAGACCGTGACCAGGGGGAAAATGGCATAGTGACCTGCACGGTGGTAGGAGACGTGCCCTTTCAGCTCAAACCAGCTAGTGAAATGGAGGGAGAGCAGAATAAAAAGAAATATTTCCTCCACACCTCTGCACCGCTGGACTACGAGGCCACACAGGAGTACAATGTGGTCATAGTGGCTGTGGACTCTGGAAGCCCCAGTCTGGCCAGTAATAACTCCCTTATAGTTAAAGTGGGGGACACCAATGACAACCCTCCCATCTTCAGTCAGAATGTAGTAGAGGTGTCATTTCCAGAAAACAATGCCCCAGGCGAGAGGGTGACAACAGTGCTCGCCATTGATGCAGATAGTGGGAAAAATGCCGAAATAGCCTATTCACTTGACTCCTCTGTAAATGGGATTTTCTCCATTGATGCAGACAGTGGGGACGTCAGAGTAAACACCATACTGGACAGAGAACAAACAGAGCGCTATGAATTCAAAGTGATAGCCAAAGATAAGGGCATAAACACTCTCCAGGGCTCTGCAACAGTGGTTGTCCTGGTGGCAGATAAGAATGACAATGAACCCAAGTTCATGCAGGATGTGTTCACCTTTTATGTAAAGGAGAACCTGGAGCCAAACAGCCCTGTGGGAATGGTCACGGTCATTGACGCTGATAAAGGCCAAAATGCAGAGATGAGTCTTTTTGTAGAAGAAGAGGAAGAAGTTTTTTCCATTGAGAATGAAACAGGAACTATTTTCTCTACACTGTCCTTTGACCGAGAGCAGAAAACCACATACACGTTCAGGGTCAAAGCCGTGGATGGTGGTGACCCCCCCAGATCAGCCACAGCCACAGTTTCACTCTTTGTCATGGATGAAAATGACAACGCACCAATGGTCACGTTCCCCATAAACAGCTCCTACACACTTCTACCACCATCCAGTAACATCAGAACAGTCGTCAGGACTGTCATTGCCACTGACACCGACACTGGCATCAACGCTGACCTTAACTACAGCATCATTGGAGGAAACCCCTTCAAGCTGTTTGAGATCGATGGTGGTACTGGGGTAATTTCCCTGATGAAGAAGCTGGAGCAGAAGCATTACGGCCTCCACAGGCTGGTGGTCCAGGTCAATGACAGAGGGCAGCCTTCACAGAGCACTACCACACTGGTTCACGTGTATGTTAACGAGACTCTCTCCAACTCCACAGTGGTGGAAGCTCAGGTGGCCAAGAGCCTCAGTACTTCTTTAAACACCAACATCGCTGGAGATCCCAACTATGATCTGAGCAAACAGCGTTTAAGCATCGTAATAGGAGTAGTATCAGGCATAATGACCGTCATTCTCATCATCCTCATAGTCGTCATGGCTCGTTACTGTCGTCCAAAAAATAAGAACGGCTACGAAGCTGGCAAGAAAGACCACGAGGACTTCTTCACTCCACAGCAACATGACAAATCCAAAAAGCCCAAAAAAGATAAGAAAAAACAGAAATCCAAACAACCACTTTACAGCAGCATCGTCACAGTCGAGGCCTCCAAACCCAATGGACAGCGCTACGACGGCGTCAACGAGAAGCTCTCAGACAGTCCAGGCATGGGCCACTACCGCTCGGTCAATGGGGGGCCGGGGAGCCCAGATTTGGCCCGTCACTACAAGTCCAGCTCGCCGCTGCCCACAGTCCAGCTTCACCCGCAGTCGCCCACAGCTGGAAAAAAGCACCAGGCAGTTCAGGACCTGCCCCCTGCCAATACCTTTGTTGGCACCGGAGATAACATTTCCCTTGGATCTGACCACTGCTCCGACTACAGCAGTCAAACCATCAACAAGTACAACAAGCAGGTAAGAAGAAACATCTGTGCTGTTTTCTTCCTTTCCTCCTTTCCTTCTTTCCTTCCTTCCACTTCTCTCCTTAAATGTCTCCTGTTCTTTCTGTTCAGTGTTTTCTCTCCCATAATGCCTTCTGACAGGACCAGTCTCAGTAGTCTTGTTGCCTTTATGGTGCTAATGTGTGTCAAGTTAGCAACATTGATCTGTTTTGGTTTGGAGTGCCATTCACATGTTATATTGAAAAGGAAGAAGTAAGGTTTAGATTAGCAGGAAGAAAAGCAGGGGTCTGGGGGCATACAGGGTTACCACTCATACGACCGAACATGTCAAAGGACGTTTTTTCTTTTTTTTTAACTTTTATCCAAGCATGTGTGGAGTCTGCATCAGTGAATGTGTGTCAGACAGCTCACATAAGGCTTTGGTTTGCAGCAATTTTCTGTCTCTGGGGAGGCATGGCAGGGGGTGGCTGCAGACCCCCTCCTCCTTACCACCACCACTACCTTTAGCCCATGTCAAGCTTGTCTCTGTCCTGTCTTGCTCTGCTCCTGTCTGTAACAAGGCTAGCTTTTCTTCACAGGATAGAAAGAAAAAAAAAGGCAGACAAAAGCACAAAGGTAGATTGTAGGTTAGATGCAGCACAAACATGGCTTTGTCAGCTTTGTGACTCAGTCGTTTTACAGTCTGGCCTTGATTAAGAACATCTGGTCCGGGAGACATATTAACATTCTTCTCCACTCGAGTGTCGGCACCAATTCATTGACCTGACATTTTAATGTCACTGTCCATATATGCCTCTGATTCTCTCATTCCCTTATTTGTATCTCTTTACCTCGTCTCCTCTCTCACTCTCCACCTTTTCTCCCTCTCATTCTGACTTAGTGTAGATGTAGGTGCTGTGACATTCCATTCAGTTAATCTTTTTTGTCCCGTTTTTCGTGCAACAGCAGCAAAAATGTAAATGCATAAACATGAAGCCACCTCATTTGAATTCCTGGGAAAGGGAACAGTTTTGTTTAATGTGTTTTCTATGGCGCTGTAATGTTTTATTGATTCCTATTTTTTTTTTAACTTTACCTGGCGTCAGCAGCTCCTCACTGTTTCCTCTATTTTTTTTTCACCTTCTGCTTGTGAGTTTACTCCTTGATATCTCCCTACACTCAGGTTTTTCTTGCCCACTGTCACGCTTTGACCCTGGCTAGAACATCCTTGAAAATCTTGCAGCCAAGCGTGCTGCCTCCTGAAATTCTGAATCTTTTTCAGCTGTTTTTTTTTTTTTTTAGCTTGTAGCCACAACCCATCCCTTACAATGGTGTTCTCTGTGGTGGTTTCGTTTTTAAAATTCTCCTCTTCATATCTCTTCTCTCTCTCTCTCTCTCTATATATATATATATATATATACACACACACACACACAGAGTATGGCACTTTTCCAGTCGTTTCCACTTCCTTTCTGAGCTTGTGATACGGTGTATTTGCCGTGCTGCCTTCCCAGGGTGTGAGAAGTGCTGTTTCTTCTGGAAGTCTCCTGCATAATTAAAAGGCCACTCTTTTGCAGCAGTGGCACCAGCATGTATTGTGTGCTACTGCTACTACACTCTAAATACACACACACACACACACACACACACACACATATGTATATATATATATACACACACATACAAATAGAGAAAGTCTCTGAAAAAAATCATTCGGACAGCATGAAGTGTAAAATCGTAAAGAAAAGCATTTACAGGCCAACTGGGGCACATCAGCGGTGGTTACTGTGTTTTGCATCCTGTTAGTTTTTTAATATATAACAGCAAGCAGATATTAAAATTGCCTTTTATATCCTACGGGCTCCGTAAATACTCAGTGTTGATTCAGTTGAGGGTGAATGGAAGGTAATTTAATGGCTTACAGGAGAAGGTGCACATATTTGTGTGCCTCAATTCTTGCATTAAAGTGCAGTGGTGAATTAAGCGCTGAAGTGGTCATGCACTTGATTTTAGGGATGCTGTGCGCAGAAACATTCTGCCTCCGGAGGCAGAGCCGCATTGAAATGTTCAAGGACACTTGTGAACGTCGGTTCATGGAATTATTGGATTACAGAAAATTATAACGTGGACAATATCCTTTAAATTGCACAAGTGTAGATAAAGAACGTTTTGTAGTTTAGTTTTCACCTCCAATGTCTGATTTATTTTTCCTAACACACGTTTTGTTTTCTATCTGCGAGCAGTGAGACAGACAGGCCCAAGAAAGGCAGCCCTGTTAGCGCTGTGGAGAATGGCCCCCACTGTCTCACAAGGGATTGAGTGGAATGAAAAAGACAGGGAGGGACAGAGAGAAAGAGAATAGGGTGGACTGTAATCTCTGTGAGGGTTCAGGTTTCGCCCTTCTTTTTTTTTTTGTTCTATTCTCACCGACCCTAATCTTTCACTAAGTGCTTGGCCAACCAGCCTGGGCAGGTAACCACAAAACAAAGGGGTGTTTATTGGACAGTTGAGCTTTTCAGTTCAGCCATTTCAGACATTTAATCAGTGATTAAGGTGAGCTGGAACAAACACTAAGCAGGACAAAGAAAATAGTGACAGGCCAGAGAAGGAATGCACTTTGTGTTAATGCTCTAATATTCCCTGGGTTCTTTCAAATTCTTCTTTCCCTTTCTTACAAATAAAACTTTAAAAAAATAAAAGAAAGATCCAAATGTACAGGCCCTTTGCTTTTTAGTGTTGACTTAATCTACACTGCACATGACCCTTGACCCTACCTTAAGACTGGTACAGTACACATACACCGATTTGGAACACACTTTCAAATCACAAGGCCCTTAAATGAGAAGGACCAAAAGCAGTTTGGTTCAGCCATATTTAGTCATTATTTGGAACTACTTGGCTTTTACATGGCCCGGAAAGTAGCCTTGAGCCTAAAGAAGAATTTGTCCCAAATTTTGCCATTGGATTACGACTTGAAATGGCATTTCTTAGCTATTTTTATTTTTATGAACCGTTTTATGAAATATCGGCAACTGTTGTATTATGTCAGGGTTACTCTGGTTTTGGCTTACTTGAGTAAATGCTACACTAGGTCCACTAGTGACATAATTGTAAACCATATATGAGCCATATACTAGTGTTATGTTTTAAATTTGAGCCACATCTGGTCCTTGGGGGCATCACAGCTTCAGACTGGTTTGAGAATACATTGCAATCTTCCAAGGAAAAACACGGGAGTGGCTTCCTTTCTTAATGAGTTAAAGTGGATAAGGTAAGGCAAGATAACACTACAGTTAAATGAAAACTTTTGCGGTGCAGATCACTTCTAGCCAACATTTTCTAGTAAAGTGTGAAATGAGCCTGGGTTTAAACAGGATAAACAGCCTGGAGTCCATTTGTTTTTCAGCTGCACTAAAAGCTGCACTTATTCAGCTTTACATTTCTGCTCCCTTCGTACCAATGTGTCCCACATCCAAAGGTTGGCTAGTTCTGGGGCTTGTTCCATCTTCTCATTTACAATCCTGTGTCCACTTATTGCATCTGCAATCTTATGAGCAGTGCATGGCTTTAACACAACACTTAACTTTATGACTTTTGGCAGTGGCTTCTCTTCTTCTCCCCGGTGCCAGAAAAATAAATGCTGTCCAACCATAACGCGGTGAGAAATGAAATCACTTAGCCATTGAATTATCACAAACCATGGGCTTTTGTTTTATCATTGCACTTCAAACAGCCACTGCTGCTCAGGTGGATGGGTTTTATAATCAGTACTGAGCTGCAGCAGCTTGTGTGTTTTATGCTCTTAAACCTACAGCACCCTCAAGGCAGGCATAGGTGAAGAACAGACTCAAACCAGGGGTCATTTTGCCTTAGGGCCGAACATAGGCTTTAAACTCAGCCCTCAGGTGTCCACCACCTGTGCTCTGGCCAGCTGTTCCTTTTGTAGCGCAACGCAGCATGTACAACCTCATCTGCGCAAACCTAATAGGGCAGTGGAGCAGCTGATTTGCTTAGGGTGAATCCACCACCTTGATTTGCTAACATGAGACAAACAATGCAAATGACTCTCACTTGTATGTGTTTGTACCCAAAACGTAAGATGTGATTGTCCTTCAGACCCTGGGCCCATCAGGAAACCAATATGGAAATGTGCCTATTTGCCTGCTGCTTGATTTGTTTTTAACCTACAAAATGTAGCTTTAAAACCCCCCACAGACCAAAGCTTCACAAACTGCCTGACCCTTGGCTTTAGTTGCAGCTTTTGTGATTGTATCTGTGAAAAAGTTGTGGCAGTCAGTCACTCATTGAGCCCAATGTGATGATACACTATGTTTCCATTGATGCCAGTACTTTAGGAGTAGAGACATTATTGTTGGTAATTCAGCTAAATTGTGACCCTCCCTCTGCCAATCTAAGTAAGAAATGTTTTCAGCTAGACTAAAATTTGAAGCCAGTATGTCTTTGTAGGTGGCGCTTTTGGCCCAGAAGCAATGTCTCTGTCATTGGTGTGGAACCCCAGGGTTCACCTCCTGGGCAAGTTCGAATCCCGGTTAGGGCGGTTGGTACCTTCCAGTGGACTCACCACTTTAGGGGGGTTGGTACGGTGCAATGTGATTTGGGTGGCGGTCATGGAGACTAGGTAACTAGGTTACCGACCAGGTAACGGATAAGCCGATGAAAATGGATGGAGGGACCCTAATTACGCGGCTGTAATCATAGTAGTTGCAAAGTGGCTAATATTTCCCAGGAACATTATAGAATAATTCAATATGGCCACTCAGGGTTTTGCTGTTTGTTCTGGGAGAAAATTAAAGGAATTGGGCTGCACAAAAAGCCTGCTTGTTTTTTGTTGGCAGCTTTTTCTAAAAGATAATTTAGTTAGGTGATTCGAATGCATTTGCTCTGAAGCGATTGCTAATCTAAAGGATTAGACTCACCTGATACAGCAGCAGAGCGGTGCACTCAGATATTGCTAAAGCTGGCATTTGCAGCTCCTGTTACATTACTCTGCATATTAAGTTAATATACAGGCTGTTACCTGTGGGGTAAACAATTGCATTACTTCTGTTTCTCCATATGTAATAAACATGACAGTTAGCTGAGTTCTCCAGACAGTTAACCAGCTAATTTCAAGAAGCTTATACAATTCTAGAAAAGAGAGAGAGAGAAAAAAAAAAACGGTAGTGGTTGAGAAGTTCTTACCCCATGTCACTTTGATTGCTGTCCACACCACTGATTTTAAGTGGCAGCATCGAGGATGTCACCTTCCTTTCGTTGCTCCTTTCAATTTCATGTCGCCTAAAATGGAATTTCATTTCACACAAGCAGTGATCACATCAGATAAAGCTTTGCCGGGGACAAAGCCGATTCATATTTACAGATTTGCCTCTCCTGAGGCACAATCAATCACTGCAATCCAGCCTCTGTTGTGTGTGTTTTTTCTGTACCACGGTGAATTGTTGGAGGGCATTTTGTACAGTTTTACAAGGCTCACAAGGTCTATGATGAGCAGCCCTGGTGTTCGTTGTTTTTCCTCCATTGCTGTACTCTTGTGTAGACTTGGAGAAACTTGAACTGGCTAAATGAGAACATCATTTTGCTGTGTTGAAGCACAACCCCAGGGAATAGTTCGCTGCCGACGGGTTGAATCACAACACTGATCAGACATAGGGCTTGTTTGTTTCTGAAACTAATAGGCAGTGATATTTAGTGGACTGCAACACCTCGAATAATTGTAAAAAAAACAAAAAAAAAACAAAAAAAACAAAACAAAAAAACACAAAACCAAAACATATCAGTCAGACTGTAATGGTGTTATTCTTTCGTTCTTGTTTGGCAGGAAAGTCATCAATCTGTTTGTTCTCTGAACGATGGTTCCAGCAGCTTGCACAGGGGATATTTGTGCTTTATTTGATCCGATGATGAGCAAAGTGTCTGTTCCTTCTCTCACTGCCTTGGTGTCCTTTTTCACCCTGGCTGTGATTAATCAGATGAATCACACACTGTCAGCGTTGCTTACATGGGTGCAGAATGTCAAGGAAACTCGGAGCAGAGGCCATGGCCCTCCCCTCGTCAAGAGGAAGATGGTGTACACCATATTCAGCATCCGTTGTGTTGTTCTACACACAAGGCCTTCAAAAGAACAGAACAGAAGATGAGAAAGCCAGACACATAGGTCCATAATTCAACACCGAGTCAACAGTTAGGCTCCTTATTGCAAATTGAACTTGCATGCTAAAGGTTACACCGACCTGTAAGTGTTCACAGTATCAACTTTCAGCGGACATTGCATCACAAAACCAAAATGAATGCGTCGTGACTTCATTTTATGGCCTCAACCACAACCACAACCTCCCTCATGTCCTCAGCGTGGTGCAGGCCGGTTTATCGTTACACTCTGTTCAATATACAACAGTTTTCTGACTCCAGTCCAAGTCTCCATTTGAGATTATTTCATGTCTGAAAACTGTGAAAAAAATGTTGAGGTAGTGAAGGTTGATGAGGTCAAGTACTTCATTAGTGGCACTCTCTAAAAGATGGGACAGAGATGGAGGTTGCAGAAATGATGATGCTGAGATTCTCTTAGGGAGTGAACTGATTATAAAGAGCCGATCAGAGGAACAGGCTGAAATCAGTGTTAGAGAGACAAAGTGGAGATGGTTTGGGTAAATATGGTGGAAATAGAACAACCAGACCTGGGAAAAGAGACTGCAGGGAAGGTGCATGTACATGGAGAGGGAGGAGGTCAAGGATGAGGTTGAGGTGAGTTAAAAGCGACAAGTGTCTTACAAGGGTAAGACAGAGCCAGATTGTCAATTGATGAGAGCTGCCAATAAAAGAAAATGATTTTGACAATAATAAGAAAGAAAAAGACAAATCTATTTCATGAAGTACTTTCCAACTTAAACATGCTACATGTTTGTCAGCACAGCTACCAGAGTAGGCACGTCAGTGCTGCGCTTCGAGTTGCTTGTAGAAAGTCAAGCTGCAGTTTGTTTCTGTGCTGCTGTGGACAAGTGCCAGGTGTGTTTACACTGGTTGTGTGCACAGTGCAGCATAAAAAAGGAAGCAGAGATGAAGAAGTCCACCTGGACGGCAAGGGCCGAGGGCTTCACAGCCAGGGATTCACATGTAGAATGGAGCACGTGTGCACACCTCCAGCACACATCATGACTGGCTAACACAACAAAGAAGCTAAAAGCTCACATTACAAGTAACAGGGAAGGAGTTTGGTTTCCCTGCAGCTGTTGGCTGCTGTACAAAAGGCTTAGAAGTCTCTTACAGGTAAGGGAAATTAAAACTGTTTTATGGAACATGTGAGTTTGGCAGATGATGCCTACATATCTGGGGTGACAGGGGAAAAAACTTTAATCAAGTACACTGCTGTAATTGGAGCATATTTAATAGGTACAACCTTCACCCAGGGTTCAGGTTCACATTGATTTTTTTTCTGTCAAGGCTCTAACAGCCATGCACCTGTTCCTCCCCTTTACACATACCTCCACCTATCAGACATTGGCTGTCCTTCCTGTGTAATAAGGTAACTGCTAAAATATTAAGATGCACTGACTGAGAACCCTTGGCTACATGAGATACATTAAGATCAGTCCAGGATGAATAATGCATCTGAAAAGCTTTGTGTTTTAAGCAGAAGGAAATTCTTTTTTACAAGTACTAATAGGGTGCAATAAAAGAGCCTAATGGATACGACGTGACTTGGGGAGGAGAGAGGAAAAAGGACAGCTTGACTGCTTCTATTAGCTCTGTTTCGATGCAGCTCCCACCATGGGGCCCCCCACAAATGAGATTATATGTGTATGAAACAGGAGGGAGATCCGTCGCCGCCCATCAATCAAAGCCTGGGGGGAGCTTTGTGAAAGTTTGTGACATGTCTCCGCTCCCTGTGTCGCTGCATGTGTGCAGGAAGGCGATATGTAGGCGTACAGTTTGAACATGTGTGTGTGTTTGTATTATCCTGTGAGGGCTCAGAGAGGAGAATAAAGTAATGGAGAGGTGGGGGCTCCATGGCCCGGCCTCTCCATCATTTACACTGGCTGCGACGTGCCTGAGAGGGTTTCAATATCCTGTGTGTGTGTGTGTTTGTGCGACATCGCCGTCGTGTTTACCCAAGGAATGCAGTTCATTATATCAGTGTGTGTGCGTGTGTGTGTGTCGTGGTTATTACATACTCACATACACGCAGATGAAGCCTGAAGGCTGCAACGGAACTGTATTTTCACCTGTTAAAAAAAAAGAAAAAAGAACTTGCATCAGGCTTGAGCGGCCTGTACTGCCACTGGGATACTTTCTATTCACTCCGTAATTACAAATGCCCTCAGGCAAGGCACTGGTGAGCTCCTATGCTATTCATTTCTGACACTGCTGTAGCTAAGATGTGTGCTTTAATCCTAACACCATGGACACAATTCTAACCACTAGTGCAAAACCTTGTCGATGAGAAGCTACAAAAAAGGCAGAAATATTCATTAGCGAAGTGTCGGTAGGGGCAGAAGGAGACGCTGTATCGATGAAGCTTCACCTGGTCGAGAGCAGGCTATTAGCCAGGCCCGATAAATCTTGTCAGCGGCTGGGAGAGTCTGCCTGCCCGCTGAAGAATGAAGGTCACGGGGCGGCTGGAGTTACGAGCGGCCTCGCAAAGTATCTGCTATCAAATCAACTGAAATATGAAGTCTGACCAGGGTTTTTTAATGCTAATTCTTTTCAGTTTACCTCCAGTTCCCAGGATGTGCTACGGCACACATAGTGATTAAATGAAACCGTGTGTGAGGCTAAGGCCTTGGTCTGGTTTGTGATCACCTTGAGATGAATGATTGTATCTGCTTGGTGGCCCAAGAAACAGGCAGGGTTTTAATAAAGTCGGAAAAACACTAACAAATGAGCTCACTGTAAACCAATATGCAGAAATTACACTGCCAGTACATCACACTGCCTCACATACTGTATTTTCCCACTGGTCTGCTGTGTGGGAAACTGCAATATGAAGAGGAGATGACTACAGTGCTGGCTCTAGTCAGACAAATTCTATTGTGGATTGAGAAACTCCAGACATTTAATATGGTTTCAGGTATTGATTTGCGGCACCTTGCCCTATAGCCTGTTTATTGTCTGGGTTTGGTTTCACCTTTTTTACTCTTTTCCTCACTGCATTCTCCAGAGATAAAGTCCTTTCTCCTCAGCTGTCTGAACACTCGCTCTTCCCAGCAACAATGTTCAGAGTAATAGCTACAAATAGTCAATCAAACTGGCCACTGCCACGGAATGGCATCAGCCATCTCCCAATCTTCTGAACGAGTAGTCATTGAAAGTCAGGTGCTTGAGAAATAGCATGCTTCGAGGTGATGGGGGAGGGGTGTGAGGTAAGAGGGGCAGATGTGGGGATGTAATCAAGACTAAAAGACTGGTCTTTGACATGGTTCATTTAGCCTGAGCTGGTCCGGGCGTAAACGCCTGGGACACAACGGCCAATTGTAGGTTTGGAGTAAATTCAGCATTGAGGCCTGCCTTGAGGGGGGCCAAGTCCACAGAGGGGCAAAGAAGGGAGGTAGGAGTGTGTTGGAGGTTCATGGTGGGGATGTAGCGGTTCCGGGGGAGGCGGTGTTGTTACATTCACTGCTGTTTGGTTCATAGTTGATGAGTTTTGGGAGTGGGGGAAAAGGCAAGAACATCAATCATGTTGACATGACTGGAGGCAGTAAAATTATTAGAATAATGGTAAACAAAGCTGCTAACATTTGACCAGGTTTTTATTTTTTCATAATGCACTCCAACTTTATCACATATTTGACCGTTCACTCAATGTCAGAATAATCAGATTTCATCTGTCTGTAGTAAGTTGGTGGATTAAGAAAGCTGATTGGATGAGAGCAAGCAGTAGTGGCTTTGACAAGCAACTAAGTGCCAACACGGGTGACATTTATGAGTGTCTGTCGTCCATTTCCCTCAACTAGACTTCCTATTTAATCACTATCAGAATTCTGCTGCTACAGCAAATGTTTGAGGAGCACAAATTACTTTCCCCCAGCGAAGCCGATGGTGGGCCGGCGTTTGATGTCAATGGCAAATGTGCTTAACATGCAAACCTCCCTTCTCTCCTGCATGTTTGAAAGATTTACGTCGTGTGTGTGTATGTGTCTTCAAGTGTGTGTATCTGCCCCTTTGTATCCTTTGAATGGCTTTTCTTGTAACCAAGTACAGCCTCTTCACATGGTAAATGGATCGTGGGGGGTGACATGACAATTGGTGCCCCCATTAATTCATGTTTAAAATGTCAGCCTTATCTTTGCCAGTGGGAATCTGTTTGAACAAGGAGGCACACAGGCACAGGGTCCTCCAGTTAGAAAGCGTATGCTGCTGTTTGTACAGGACTCTTTGGAGGGCTTTCCGTTGTTTCTATGGCAATGTACTGTAAATCCTACTACCACCACCCACTGCGACTTTTTTCTACAGCCATATGCCTGGAGACTTTTTTTAAACCCATTTTGCATGAAAGTCGTAATTCAGATCAGTTTCAACACTGCCAAATGTGAATCTCAGGGTCACGTCCTCCTCAAATCAAAGCTAACAGCTCTGTTTGGACGAGGCGTGGGAATGCCATGTTCCGCTTGGCTCTTTTAGTAACACCACCTGGGCATTTCCAAAGATGGAGATCCCAGAGCTCTAAATTGGAAGCAGTTGCTCTGCTACAAGTGCTCATCCCTGTTTTTTTTTTTTCCTCCTGTGTCACAGCTCTTTGGTTATCTGTAATTTACAACTCTCTCTTTTTTGAGTTCAGGATTCATGAGATCAAATTAGACAGTGGGAGAAGGCCAGAATTTCGGCACCATCCCAAGTGGGTTTGGTCACTGGTTAACCATTTCCGACTTCTATTCCTGCCTGGGAAATACGCTAGACACTGAAAACAGACCAATGTTATTTTAAGTCGAACATATTGGCCTCAATGTTCAAGGCTGTGAAGACAAATGATGTTTGATGTGAAACAAAAACAAATTGAATCAAGAAAACTTTAAATAAAACACAGGCTTGGCATTGTCAGGAGTGTTTCAGATTTGACGTACCACACAGGAATCTACAGTTTTCAAGTCTTTTTGTAAAAATAAATCCTGAAGAGTTATGAAACAGATCCTGTATTCAGTCCAATATCTTAACAGCAAAGCAGCTGAATAGCAATGAATTGATGCAGACAGATTCAACAAGCTGGTTTAAAGGTTTGAAAAATGGGAGAGTTTGAAATAAATACTGTAAATTCTGATGTGTATTGGAGTTAGCACAAGGAAAAATGTGTGAAGTCCACAGGCAACTCATCAAACATGAACTCAGAGAAGTGTGTGTCTGTGCAAATCTCACTTGAGTGCATCTCGTCACTGTAATGACTCTTGGCATGCGTGCGGCCCTAATGAAGTGGGACACTGCCTGTGTGACAACATGAATGTGTCCAATTGCAGGTTGCCACTGGAACCCCTCAGAAATAGCCTGCAGCATTTGAACATGTTTACTCTCTGTAGGAGGATATACAAATCTCAACAATAAGAAAAAAACATCACCCTGTCTTAACTCTGTTAATGTGATTACCATTCTATGTCACACGCCCTGTTCCAAGGGGAACAGGTAGTAACGGTGTCTTAAGCCTGAGGCCTGAATTTCAACAAATTCACATTATCATCAAACATTAAACATTAACTTTGCATTCATGCTTTTTTGGTAGGATTGCAGTAGAAGCCAAGACATTAAAATATAATTACACCCTTCCACAGTTTTTGTCTACATGAAACAGACATAGTGGGAGACTGTGGTATTCAGGGCAGTCGTTGTTGAGGTCGTGTCAGGAGACATTTACTGCTTATAGTTCAAATTCAAACCTTGACTATGCCTCAATCTCTCAGTTAGATTCAGTAGAGTTGGTCCCATAGTGTAGCGGCTAGCATGCCTGCCTCAGGAGCAGAGAGTCCCGGGTTTGATTCACATAGGAACCACATGCTTGGCACCTCCTGCTGTTAACACAAGAATTTCCAAAATATGGGGTCAATAATTCAATTTTTTTTTTATTTAGAGGGCAAACTATATGTAACTAAATCTTAGATCTACTCTTTGGCAATTAAGTAAGACTGTGGTGCTAATTTAATAATTAACTATTAGCAACTAAGCTAGCAAGCTCCATGTACAATAAGCCATCTCCTACTTCATTACATTACTGCTGCCTTCCAGTTATTAAGTACACTCCTGCCTGCGCAACCGATATTCACTTATGACAAACACCACACCAGAAGCTAATTTGTTTTTTGTTTTTTTCATTAGCAAGCAAGTTAAGCTAAACTGGTTACTCTGTAACCATGCATGAAAAAGTCCTACTCACTGATTTCAATTCACTGCTGAAGCAGAAACCTTGGCACAAGCTACTAAGTTGTTTGCTGTTGGTAGGCAAGCCATGTATCTGCTGTAGGCTGAATAGTTTGACACTCCCATTTGTAAATGGGAAACCTATTTATTTTAATATTATTATTATTTTTTTTACAATCGCTTTGCTCTCTAACTGTTGCTGTGTCTGTGCATACGCAAAAAAGTGCTGCTTGCTGTGTTTGGCACAATAGTAAGCAACAACCCATCAGTAAAGTGCAGAAAAAAAGCAATACAAGTGACAAAACATTGTGATCCAATTGCCAGAAAAAATGTTCTTAAAAAGTTACAGAGTTAGGACGTTTAATTCATTTGAAATTTAATTTTGGAAAAATAGACATTTTTACTACTTTCAGCTGTTTGATTACTCATTGTCAATGTCCATTGGTTACCTTGGCTTTAAACCCCTAGTGAACACCAGCCAGTGAATACAGACATGTAAGAAAATACAGGGGATTGTGTGTCTTTTTATGATTTAGACATGATCCTTGAGGCTCCATCTGCAGTATTTCTGACTACTGACTGTTATTTTTTTTAACCCACCTGCAGTGGCTCAGCTTGTGTCTGCAGCTTAGCACTTAGCTCGCTGTTGGTGAGACCGTGTCTGGAGCATCAGCTGTTTTTTATTAACAACTGGGAGGTGTTGAAGGTGGGGGAAAAGACAGGTTTAAAAACTGACGTCCAAACAGCGTTGTTTTCAACAACAACAGCTCGATGAACAAAGTGCTGACGGAATTCCACATCAGTGCTTATTTACACATATTGTGATGTTTTCAGGCACTTGTGGGTTTTTTCTTTCAAACACCCACTGAAACATGTGGCACTGATA